CAAGGTTCTGCTGTAGTTTCTTTTACTATAGTCAAATCCCTTGGGCAATACGTTTACTGTCCAAACCTCCTTTCTGACTCATTTATTATATCTCAGTTTTGCTCACAGAATTTGACCATGTTGCGATTTCCGTACAGGGGTCCATATCTACTGACACCAATTTTTATTTTCCGTTCATTCCATCAGATGGTTATTACAGAGACCAGGCGGATTGACACCACTTGGATTGTTAACGGTGAACTGACTGATCGTTCTGCACTCAGTGACCAGTTATCAGATTTTTGTGCACAGTATCCGATATACCACGTGAAAAAAGCGTAAGAGAGTCTGGAGGTGACAGGAATCGAAACAAAAGGTGAGGTGATAGAATTTTCTAATCAGTGGTCAAGTTTTGGTGATGTTCACTGGGCGAAAATTGTGCCTAAAATGCTTTTATAACATATGTTTTAATGTGGTGCGTACTCTGATTGGCCAATAGCCGGAGGAAATTGTACTNTTCACTTAGGATGCTTGTTTACAGGATGAATACATACGTGCATATTTCCTTTCCTCTTCCTTTTACTATAAATGCGAGAGTTTTTCAGTTTCATGTCGTCGTGTTTGAATTCTTCTAGATAGCCAATCGTGACTGAAAAAGTATATCCAAGATAAAATAATTTGATTCCAAGATAGCCGAGTTAGCAAGGTTCTGCTGTGGTTTCCTTTACTAGTCAAATCCCTTGGGCAATACGTGTACTGTCCAAACCTCCTTTCTGATTCATTTACTACATCTTTTGCTCAACAGAATTTGACCACGTTGCGATTTCCGTACGGCAAGAATTCTTATCTCTTCCCTCTTGCAAACGAACAATCGGCGCCTGAGAAGCTACTGAGAGATCTTGAGAAGGCCAAACAGGTGAGAACACAAATGTGTGTCAAAACCGATTTTGTTTAAAATTTGAACTATACGCGAATATACTTGCAGACCCTTCACGAAGTCGTACTTCGTTTCTGACCTTTCTCCTTGCAGTCTTAAAAAGCGCATTTCAAAATGACTAACAGTTCAGTAGATTTAGCAGATTTGTCATCGTCTTTAATATTATCACCGCACAGGGGTCCATATCTGCTGACACTAATTTTTATTTTCCGTTTATTCCATCAGATGGTTATTACAGAGACCAGGCGGGTTGATACCTCTTGGATTGTTAACGGTGAACTGACTGATTGTTCTGCACTCAGTGATGAGTTATCAGATTTTTGTGCACAGTATCCAATACACCACGTGAAAAAAGCGCAAGAGAGCCTGGGGGTGACAGGAATCGAAACAAAAGGTGAGGTGATAGAATTTTCTAATCAGAGGTCAAGTTTTGGTGATATTCACTGGGCGAAAATTGTGCCTAAAATGCTTTTATAACATACTGAATGTTTTAATGTGGTGCGTACTCTGATTGGCCAATAGCCGGAGGAAATTGTAGTTATATAGTCACGGAAGAAAAACTGCTACAGTTTTGGATAGGAGGTACGGTATGACTGCGCCCTTTCAAAAATCAAATCAGTGTACTTTTGAAAAACTGATGCAGTTGAACCCGCAACATTTGAGAGACAGTGTTAAGCCAAGATTTGCGGTTGCAGTATGGAATGGTTAAGTTATATATACAGTAAGTACTGAAATTCGTTCTTCTCTTTTGCGTAAAAGAAATGAATAACAAAATACAAGCTAGGATATTAAGAGATGTTTTTTTTATTGAGCGTACGTCGCTTACAACAGCATTGTAAACAATAATATGGTGGAAAATAAATTTGACGATGGCCAAGTTTAACATCCTGTTAGCATCTCGCGTTACGACCGCTTCAGGCACAAATAAACTACAAGCTACTACATCACTGACCAGCCATGCCTCATTACCCAGATTTTGCCGACTTTTTAGTGGTGGAATTATCGTTGCTTCGCTTGATTTCTAACTTTCTTGGGTAAACGATTTGAATGAGCACCTCTCTGGTTCTTTTGCAGAAAGAGCACATCGTGCTCGGAGAGAACAACCATGGACCTTCATGACGGTGAACCTTTGTGCCATTGGGGCATGGACCTGAATACTGCCTACCAAAAATGTCCCAAGCCTGAATGGAAACTGCACGAATACCACAGCTGTGTCAAATACGTCGAGTGCAGTGATGATAGTGGCAAGTCATATGACCAAGGCTGCATAACTTTTCACGACTATCGCTTTCTTGTGTGCTACGAGTTTATTTGCGAGAACAACAATATGGATCAAGATGATCATCAACAATATGGGTCTGGGTCAGACCAAGGGTCTGGGGAGGAGTCTGGTTAGGGTGGATCAGGCGATGTTTTGGAACGACTGTAATCAGATTGGATCCGGCAATGTCAGGTCAAATGCAGTTCCTCTTTTCCCTTAGTTCGTCGTCCGAAAAGAAAAAGACTTGAAGGAAGAATTGACCGCGCAAAAACTGGGGATAAGCTGCCCAACTCGCCCCAGGCAACCACGCGGATAGCTGTAGAGACGAGGTCGCTCTCACTTTTGGCGCGGTCTTTATTTCCTCTCGCCCGCCTCTTTTAATTCGACGAAGGAAAGGGTAAAAAAATAACTGCTCAGAGTAAATGTGTTTTCGGATAGGATATGCTATTTTCATATCCTGGATTTGACTGATTTTTTTGGCGTAAAACGTGATTTTCTTAAACGTGATTCAGTTTTCAGTTCGCATTGAATTGTGATTTTGTAGCCATCGGCAGGAATTCCGTGAACTAAATAAAATATGAAAACTCTAGTTTCATTTTGAATAAAGAATGTTCGACAAAAAGAACTCTACTGTAGTTTGATATTTATACCTAATCATACCTTTTTTGTTCGGCGGCATATCAGGCGAGTTCGGTCGAGTCATGGTTCGTATTTTAGCTCCACCACGTCTCGCCAAAATACCCATGGCGAGACCAAACGTGCTTGATATGCCGATATGCCGCCAAGCGTACTAAAAAAGGCTGCGGCTACGTATTTTCCGTGCCCAAATTCGGCCAAGTGACCATGATATCGCAGGCATATCAGGTTAGTAAGTTGATATCACAGTATATCAAGACAGTAGTCCAACCCATATTTCGTATTCTTGGTATTGGACTGGAAACCGCTAACAAATGAGGCTAATGCGGGGAGCCTCTTTTCAAATACAAGTTGCATTAATCTTTTTAATATTCCTTCGCATGAGCCTCCACTGCAAGCTAGTTCCAGTCTAATACCGGGAAAACGAAATATGCACTATTATGGGATAATCACAACTCACGGGATCTGTAACTCTCCCAGAATGCACCGTGTCATCCAGATTTCAGTACGTTTTGCTTTTTGCGAGAAATATCATTTTTTTACACAAAAACCTTCATCATAAGTCCAACAAAGATCACAAAGCGACGACGTCATCAAAGATTATTTATTTTCAACTCAAACCGATTAATCACATTACAAGGAAATATAAATATATATTATTCTCACAACTAAGGTCACCATTCATACTGCAAAGGCAAACAAATGGAAAGTACTCTAAAATTTCAACACCTCAAATCATACTTGTTGAACTCACTTTAAACAATCACAGTAAACTATGACTTGAGGGGTTTTTCTTAACAATACTTTCTGGAGATTTCCAGGGTAGAACGTCTTTGAAATGGTCTCTTCTAGCCTCTTGAGATTGTTCTTCCACGATACAAATGATCGCTTGCGTTTTGTGCGTAGAAGTAAAGGAATCTTTTAACCGGCTTCTGAAATACAACTTCCGCTTTATCAAAAGAAAAAAAACAAAACAAAACGAAACAAAAAAACTGAAACTTCAAGAAATAGTGACTCCGTTGCCGAAATTTAATTTAATAACGTACTTTCAACTCTTAGTAATTACAACCACAAAACAACAGATCGTCTATTTCACAGCTGGAAGGGCTATGAATTTGATCAGAAACAAAAGAATCTCTAGGATCTGAAAAATCTGACGACTTTGATACTAAGCGATAACAAATACTACAACTATTGATAAATAAAACCCGCGAAAACGAGCTAGTCATCACAGTTTTTGGCCGGGTCAACCGAAAAAGCTTCAAACAAATTTTACTAACGTTAAACTCCCCAATTTCTGTTTAACAAGTCACGCACTCCCTGACTAAGTCCCAAAATTTAACGTAATACCTAGTTCCCTTTACGAGAGCTGCCTGTAAGTTCCATGGTCGTGTGCAACGTTGCCGAGTCTTGGACTTGTTTTGTTGAGGGCGAATCCCAGAGGGAACTGGGCACTAAGGTTATCTCCTTCCCAGAGCCCGCGCTCCTTAAGGGGGCAACGCGCTGTGAGAACTCAAGAAACGAAATTACTTTAAAGAAAAGCCTCTATAACCCCATATTTTGGCGGATGGTGAAAACATCCAGTAAAGCAGAAAATATTACAAAGAAACATGTTTATGGCGTGCGAGGTAGTGTCAAGGCTGTTCCCCTTAAATTTATAACACACCTCATTCACTGCTGCCCTACTTAGGCTATTTACATATAACGGAAAACAAGGTTTCGCTTTCATTTAAATCTTCATTTAAAATTTTCAAATATCAAACAAGTTTTAAGAGCTGAAGCGCAGGATCACGATCGAGTATGCTAGCCAATCTGATTGGTTGGTTTATTTCAGGCTCCGGCGACTTTCTAAACCCTAACGCGTTTCAGAACGGCCTTTGTAAAACCTTTCACCAACTTTTGCTTTTTCTTCTCGATGAAGTTAGTGAGAAAGAAAACTGGCTCTTCAACTTATAAGGAACACTTGGACATAGGTCCAACGCTATTCTAACTGGCTAGCATTCGATTTTCTTGCTTTTAACTGATTAGATTTTGCCCATCACATTTCTTACTGGATACACCGACCCCGGGAATATATTTGCATCAGAACCTCAACGTTATCTACTGCAAAATATACATTTATGATCAGACCACTGTTATGTGGAAAATGTAACTTCTTAGACTACAAGTAACAAATTTCTTGTTGAAGTAAAAGCGACAATAATATTAAATGGTGAGAGAAAAGCAGTCGGTTCCCTTGTCATTTTACGAGGGCGCACTATGAAGGGGCTAACTCACTCAGTCTTCTTCAAGCCCTATGGTATATGGGACCCAGACAAAAGGGGAAGGGAGCCTTACTCTGAAACTGCTTCAAAATTGAACTTTATCCCTCTGTAAACCTAATCTATAAAACCTCTGGAAGATTTTCAATAACAGCACCATGCAGATCAAAACTAGCTCTATCTTACAATTGATATAGTAACGGGTGCTTTAAGGTATACCCTGCTCATTGGAATTAATAAATTGATCGCCTTTGAATATAATCTTTTATGTAACCAATGTATTTTAATAATCATTTTTTTTTGGCACTACACGTACCAATGTTACCAATGTATCTCAAAATATTATTTCAAAAAAATGGAAAATGAAAAAAAGCTTTCTTTTTCTGAGCTTATATTACCTTGTTAGGCCCATGCTAGGGAAGGCTTGGAGCGGAGCTATTACTTACAATAAATTACGAATCAACATTTTACGCATTTACGCGTCGGCAGCAGAGCTGGGAATATTCTCTTCCACCCACTTCAGATCATCTTCCTGTAAATAAAACACGTTTATAATACTCAAACTAAAAGAGACCTAAAACTAGTCTGCTAAGGTAGAAAAATAACCAGCAAGTAACAACAAACCAAAAATGAAGGAGAATGGTTAAAGAAGATCAATCATGGCATCAAGTTATTTTGGCCGCGTACAAAATTACCTTGTAATTATAGGACACCTGAAAATAGTAGTTTACTAAGATAGAAAAACACCAAAGACAAGATAACAAACCATTGTAGAATAAGGATGGTTAAGAAGGAGAAGATTGACACGGATTACTAGCGAAGGACTTAAAAGGCTAAACTCTTTAAGTTGCAGTGATGCAACTCCTTTAAGATTGGAAAAAGATTGAGAAGGATTATACCAAAAGACTTCCTCCCTTTAACTTACAGGCTTGTGTTTACGTTTGGCGTCACCATTAATTATCACTTCTGGGGTGTTCTTGACATTCCTCATCTTCATACCATCTGGAACAAAACACAGTTACTGCTATTTAAATGTGGTGGCTTTGCAATTTACAGCTGATCTTGCATTTGTCTAGCTATTTCATTTCTATCCATTATCTAATAGCTCGGTTTTAAAGAAGGTAATTTTTTTTTTCATCATTGGTATTTGACCATTCTTCCTGGGATGAAAATCGTTGTAAATTAGTCGTAGATGTATCTATTATCCAGTTCCAATCTGTAGGGTACAATAGTACGCAAAATGCATAAATATCCCACGGTCTTGTTACTGTGGGAAACTGGTTAAACAGGGTGTGCTCCTCTTCGGTCTTCTGCAAATCTCTAGTTTAACATTTTCACACGTAGTAATTTCTGTGCACTTATAATCATCATTTATAAATTAGTTCGAAAAATACCACAAGACCCCTAAACTGCATACAGAGCAACGCTACACACTAAAATGTTTCAGAAGAGATATATGTTGACTGAATATAAATCTATTCCCCACATCTGATTGTATTAACATGGGCCATGCAGCCGAAGGCCAATTAGCAGCAAGAAGATTAGAAAGTCTTGTCAAGCAGCTCTGTTGCCCACAGTCAGAGAAACATCGATGTAGTCAGTCTTCTGATCAACACTCATGCAGTAGCTTCATGAAGGTGATGTAAATAAAACACTGTTTTGTCAAACTCACCAAAGTCGACAATGGGCGTAAAGGCGTACCTAGACACAGAGGAGTTCAAGCACAGACAATGTCAAATTAGCTGGAAATCAGAGAATTAAATCCATAGTAACTTGGAGAACTGAAAAGAACATGCGAATTTCCTTCTGAGCACTAGCCCTAAGGAAGGAATAAGAGACCGCATAGGGCAAAGAAATAACCTTTCGACCAGATTAGAGACCTAAGCAAACCACGACGGCAACGGCAATGAGAACGCCACCAAACAAAAAGGTGTAATGCGCGTACGTTATAAATCGTTGTACATTTCGTTGCCGTTCTCTGCACAACAACAACGTGAAATGACTATATATAGTTCTGCGTACTTTGAACGTGAACGTGAACGTGAACGACTGCGGTTAATTTTTCGTATTTTCCGTTGGAAATGAACGCTGGCGTTACATGCTTAACTTGATCAGGTTCTGAGACCAATAGACGCACTGAACAGATCTGACAATTGCGAATTCGAATGAATGAATGAATGACCGACCGAACGAACGAACGAACGAACGAACGAACGAACGAACGAANTTTAGTAGACAATGCTACACACTGGCCTAAGTTAGTTTGTTCCTTTTCAAGTGGAAGCAAAATTTTATGTCTTCTGTTTTCACTTAGGATGCTTGTTTACAGGATGAATACATACGTGCATATTTCCTTTCCTCTTCCTTTTACTATACATGCGAGAGTTTTTCAGTTTCATGTCGTGTTGGAATTCTTCTAGATAGCCAATCGTGACTGAAAAAGTATATCCAAGATAAAATAATTTGATTCCAAGATAGCCGAGTTAACAAGGTTCTGCTGTAGTTTCTTTTACTATAGTCAAATCCCTTGGGCAATACGTTTACTGTCCAAACCTCCTTTCTGACTCATTTATTATATCTCAGTTTTGCTCACAGAATTTGACCATGTTGCGATTTCCGTACAGGGGTCCATATCTACTGACACCAATTTTTATTTTCCGTTCATTCCATCAGATGGTTATTACAGAGACCAGGCGGATTGACACCACTTGGATTGTTAACGGTGAACTGACTGATCGTTCTGCACTCAGTGACCAGTTATCAGATTTTTGTGCACAGTATCCGATATACCACGTGAAAAAAGCGTAAGAGAGTCTGGAGGTGACAGGAATCGAAACAAAAGGTGAGGTGATAGAATTTTCTAATCAGTGGTCAAGTTTTGGTGATGTTCACTGGGCGAAAATTGTGCCTAAAATGCTTTTATAACATATGTTTTAATGTGGTGCGTACTCTGATTGGCCAATAGCCGGAGGAAATTGTACTTATAAAGTCACGGAAAAAAACTGCTACAGTTTTGGATAGGAGGTACGGTATGACTGCGCCCTTTCAAAAATCAAATCAGTGTACTTTTGAAAAACTGATGCAGTTGAACCCGCAACATTTGAGAGACAGTGTTAAGCCAAGATTTGCGGTTGCAGTATGGAATGTTTAAGTTATATATATATAGTAAGCACTGAAATTCGTTCTTCTCTTTTGCGTAAAAGAAATGAATAACAAAATACAAGCTAGGATATTAAGAGATGTTTTTTTTATTGAGCGTACGTCGCTTACAACAGCATTGTAAACAATAATATGGTGGAAAATAAATTTGACGATGGCCAAGTTTAACATCCTGTTAGCATCTCGCGTTACGACCGCTTCAGGCACAAATAAACTACAAGCTACTACATCACTGACCAGCCATGCCTCATTACCCAGATTTTGCCGACTTTTTAGTGGTGGAATTATCGTTGCTTCGCTTGATTTCTAACTTTCTTGGGTAAACGATTTGAATGAGCACCTCTCTGGTTCTTTTGCAGAAAGAGCACATCGTGCTCGGAGAGAACAACCATGGACCTTCATGACGGTGAACCTTTGTGCCATTGGGGCATGGACCTGAATACTGCCTACCAAAAATGTCCCAAGCCTGAATGGAAACTGCACGAATACCACAGCTGTGTCAAATACGTCGAGTGCAGTGATGATAGTGGCAAGTCATATGACCAAGGCTGCATAACTTTTCACGACTATCGCTTTCTTGTGTGCTACGAGTTTATTTGCGAGAACAACAATATGGATCAAGATGATCATCAACAATATGGGTCTGGGTCAGACCAAGGGTCTGGGGAGGAGTCTGGTTAGGGTGGATCAGGCGATGTTTTGGAACGACTGTAATCAGATTGGATCCGGCAATGTCAGGTCAAATGCAGTTCCTCTTTTCCCTTAGTTCGTCGTCCGAAAAGAAAAAGACTTGAAGGAAGAATTGACCGCGCAAAAACTGGGGATAAGCTGCCCAACTCGCCCCAGGCAACCACGCGGATAGCTGTAGAGACGAGGTCGCTCTCACTTTTGGCGCGGTCTTTATTTCCTCTCGCCCGCCTCTTTTAATTCGACGAAGGAAAGGGTAAAAAAATAACTGCTCAGAGTAAATGTGTTTTCGGATAGGATATGCTATTTTCATATCCTGGATTTGACTGATTTTTTTGGCGTAAAACGTGATTTTCTTAAACGTGATTCAGTTTTCAGTTCGCATTGAATTGTGATTTTGTAGCCATCGGCAGGAATTCCGTGAACTAAATAAAATATGAAAACTCTAGTTTCATTTTGAATAAAGAATGTTCGACAAAAAGAACTCTACTGTAGTTTGATATTTATACCTAATCATACCTTTTTTGTTCGGCGGCATATCAGGCGAGTTCGGTCGAGTCATGGTTCGTATTTTAGCTCCACCACGTCTCGCCAAAATACCCATGGCGAGACCAAACGTGCTTGATATGCCGATATGCCGCCAAGCGTACTAAAAAAGGCTGCGGCTACGTATTTTCCGTGCCCAAATTCGGCCAAGTGACCATGATATCGCAGGCATATCAGGTTAGTAAGTTGATATCACAGTATATCAAGACAGTAGTCCAACCCATATTTCGTATTCTTGGTATTGGACTGGAAACCGCTAACAAATGAGGCTAATGCGGGGAG